TGTTGTAAACGGGAAAACTTTTAGTACCCTGCTAACTCCTCTGGTAATACTAAAAAGTAAAAGTTTCCAAGAAACTTGGTAATCAAAAAGTGTTAATTGATCATAATATTGCGGTGAAAATGTGGCAAGATTCTACAGTACAGTAGAAAACTCAGCTACCTCTTTTCCTACTACGTTCAATTCGCTTGAAAAATCTGATTAGAGAAGCAAATCATGGTTAAAAACATATGCAATGATTTATTTGGTGTTGAATATCAAACTTTTAATTTTATTATAGAAAGAGTCAATAGTGAAAATAAGAGGGCTAATGTCTTCAATTGTAAATGCCTTTGCAAAGTCCTCTAAACTGTGCTGCAGGTAAATTTCGAGACAACATGTACTTCATACCCTTCCTTTCCTGACAAGGTTTTTCCAAAGTTAGGACCTGAAAAAGGCAAGAGCAGAGAAAATAACAAAGATTTAATGACAGAAAAAGATAATAAACTGATGACAACCAACAAGTTGGTAAAAATTGAAATGCTGACCATTTTTAATTTTAAGCTGAACTAATTCCATGCAGGTTCTTGCATCTTCTATTGAACAATGACCACTTTCTCCATTCTGAATATCCTTCCTTCAGAAAAAAAAGGAACTTAACTAAAATTAACTGCTATGAATGTATAAGTAACTTTTTTTTTAAATTTAATACTGTAGATAAAGTTTTCAATCCTGTCTCATATAAATTTATTGCCAAATTAACAGATTAGTTGTTAACCAAAAAAGTCCATCCTGCAATCAGTGGTGAGTGAATGAGCTGTGAGAAATATTTGAAAAACCTACTTTAAATGCTGACGAGCAAGATTCCGTAATGATGATTTAAACAAAGGTACTCCTTGACAGTCTCCATAAAGGAGAGAAGTATCGATCACTCTTGTGTGATAGAGCTGAAAATCAAATAGGTAAATGAACAAAGAGATCTGGAATGTAAAAAGTACCATGTCATACCATACAGATATAAGGTGTAATATTTGAGGACAAACTGCTGGAGGAGGTGGCAAAATGGTTCTCCTTCAGAGAGTGAACTCACAAGGGTGGTGGGGGGCAAAATTGCATTGGGGCAAAACATCCCTGAACCATGAATAAAATAAGATAACAAAGAAGGAAATTCAATAACAAGTAAATCACAAACAAAAGAGAATCTTATCAAGAAATATTAGAACCATACTATATTATGGCATGATTAAACTGGTTCTTAAAAAGAGAAAAAAGTGCGTTGCACGCACTTCCATTACAGACTGAAATAAATGTCAAATTATTGCCAACCTTAAGGGCTCTGAGGTCAAACTCTAGTGAATGCCCTAAAAGAATGGCATCTGCTGGTAGAATATCTATCAAATGTTTCTGAACATCAGTTAACGTTGTAGTTACATTCTCCAGCATTTCTGCAGTGATTCCACTAAACCTGCACAAAAAAAAGTATCACAACAGGGTGGAAACCTTAATAATTGAAATTGATGTGAAAAACTAAGTTAACAAATAAAATTTGGGAAATACTGATTCAAGAGTAGTTGCTGAATTTCTCTTATAAGCCAAGTTCAAGGTCCATAATGTAAGTTAAAAACTGCCCGAACTATTTATCATGATCACACACATAGTTTAAGGTAAATTTGCCCTTGAAAATTTGTTTCTGTCACTTACTCTGTTTTGTAGTCCACTATTGGCCTGGGTGGTTTTACAAGTGTGTCATAAACCACCCTACATGATTCATCAACCAATGATATTCTTGTGAGTTCCTTTCCAAGTGATGACTTACACTAGTAAACACATGAATGACAACAAATCAATCAATGTGGCCATTAAAACTGAGGTCAGTTTTTATTGATTAATAGAACTGACTACCAATCCCACTTTACATGGAAGAACAATTAATTCTTATCTATAATTCTTGAATAATTGATATGATTTTGTGAACATACAGTACCATTTCACAATCGATTGCAAACATTGGTGACTCTGGAGATTTCTTAGACTTCTTAAATGGTTTAGTTGAAATAAACCCTAAAAACAAGGAAACTAGTGTTAATGAAACTGCAGACCGACCTAATTTTTTTCTGCATACTAATACATGATATTGCCTTTACTTGCAAACTTACAACCCTCATCTCCTCCCCTTATCCCATATTCTATATCAGATTTTTATTCCATATCCTGGTGCCCTGTGGCCCAGTTGCTATGGTGACCTTCTCTACATTGTACCTTGATGACACTTATTTTACATGTAAGGAGAAATTCTTTCTTGGTCACTCATAGGAATGATAGGGTTAAAATTACAAATATCAATTACCTTTTATCATTAGTATAGGTAATCACATGGTTTCTTGAGCAATTTTTAGGGCAATAAGCATGAGTAAATTTTTTCAAAGACTAACAAAATTGCACAAGCCAGTAGGACGAGTGCAATTTGTGGTCTTTGAAAAAATTTACAAGTGCTTATTACTATTTTCACATCAGTTCTTTAAGGCGCAAAAAAGTTCAAAGTCCAGCTATACAGTTCAAGGAATTGTTAAGTCTGTTTTGTTACTTCTTTGCACTGAGTTAACCCTCTCCTGCATGAATTATCTGAAAACTGCATTTATCTTAAACTAATCAGAATTGAGTAATTTTTTTCATGTATCTTATTAATATCTAGATTATATGCATTTATCACCAATACCATCATGTTCTGTTTCCCCATTCTTGTCACTGACAGCACTTGGCAGTGGAAAGTTATTTTCATGCATCTCCTCCAGAGTTAATTTGTAATCCTCTCTACCAAATTTAGCTGAATAAGATTTCAAATTACAGGTGGATCAATTATAATCACTGATCTATACATCAAAATCATAACAAAAATATATTGAGGAAATTCATCACATCTGAAACAGATTAACATGTAGATCATTTGGTTAAACACTCACTCTTTTCCAGCCTTTTCCTCAATTTCTTTAACTCTTTCTTTGGCATATCAACAAAAAGTAAGCTCTCATGAGGAAGTTTGACACTAAAGTCTGTTCCTGATGCTTTGGTGTTTAAGCCCTGAAAAAGGAAATAAAATCAAAGCAAAATTGGTTGAAACCATTTAACATTTAATTGTCTCAACACACCAGATAAAAAATCTTACCAACTCAAAGAAGCTGCTACATTTGGGAAAACAATCTTTATTTTCAATAAATTCCTTTGCTCCCACACCACTGACAAGAATGATGATGACTTTGTGGACTTTATCAGCACCTTCTATCTGACACCAGGACTGACAGGACTGGCATCTGGGATCAACATCTCGTAGGGATGCAAAGAAAATCAGATCTGCTAATTTTGAGATCTTAATTCTTTCTTTGGTGTTTTTTCCAACCCTGAACAACTGATGTGCATGAGGGATAATCTTTGGCTAAAGGATGATAATAAAATTCATTAAATCACAAATAGCTAATTTCACACACCTTTCAAATCACTAGTTTTAATTACAGTTAACCCTTCAACCCCTTAAAGTGACTAGCATCTAATTTCTCCTTACAATACCACCTCAAGTGACACATTAAGGTCACCAGAATGAAGGCTCTTGATTTTTAAACAAATTCTCCTTGTCATTACCTTAGGAAATGTATAGAAAACAGCATATAAAATATGCATACTGATGTTAAGGTGTAACACATTAAATAGACTCTCTCTTTTGTGAGTAGGACTGTTTGAATATCTAGTCATCAATAAAAATCTCTGTTCTAAAGTAAAAAATCTGCTGAAGTCCTTCTGCTTTTTTCACTCACCTTCTGCACTTCCTTCTCACTCTTCTCCTTACTTTTTTTTCTCTTCTTTACTGGTTCTGCCACAGGAAAAAAAATTGATAACAACGAAATTTATGTTCTGGATCAATTTGCCTGCATAACCAGAAATGATTGTGATACAGTGTTTCGTGAATAATACATGTATAGAAAAAGAAAAAAACTATGTGTAACTAAGGTGTTTATTTACCAGAAACTGATTTTGGCCGTTTTCTTTTCCTTGATTTTTTAGCCTACAAAATAGAGATATCGAGTGACTAACTGCTGCATAAGGATGATTATACAGCTGTACATAGCCTGGGCGACTGAGATAAGCAGCCACTTTACAATTTACAATTCGGTGTATAATGAGCTGTTTACACGAAGGAAACACGCGTGTTTCTCTTCTGCAATTGCATTTTAAGTAAAGGTGGGATAAAACGATGACAAGTAAATTTTATGGAAAGAATTCGATTAGATAATTTTCAAAGTAAAAATTCTTCTTATTGAGGTATTAAAGCAGAGTTTTAGAACCACCTTATACACACGACCTACCGGCTTGTCGTCCATGTTGGATTTTAACCTGCGAAGAGACTGGGCAGAGAATGGTGTTTACTACTTTGTGTAAGCAAGTTGAACCTGTCCGTCGAAGTAGAGAGCCTTTGATTTTTCAAGGGGGTACTACATAAAAAGGATGACGGTACTGTAGTCTACGAAATGGACAGATCGGATCGTCAAAATCTAGAAACAATTCGACCCGTTTTGGCTTCAGGAGCAGTTTTTTTGATTATCTTCACGTTCCAGTTTTACAGGTTAGTATTCTATTACATTTTTTCATATTTGTTGTTTGATCAGCACCCTACCCAAAATGAGCTGTGATTTGGTAACCGGTACGTAAGTAGCCCAGCTGAGAAGATCAGTGATCACAGTATGTCTATGGTTATCTTCTCTGTTTCAATTTTGATTTTGAAGCTGTTAGTTGATTATGATCTTATAAAGTTAACAAATTTCTATGAACCCATATTTTCACGTCCAACTCAAATACCAATACTTAAGATCATGTGACATGTTGTAAGCTTACTGTAGACGTATTAAGCTTAGTATTAGTAGTTGATATTGATGAGGGGTGTTAGTTAGAAAGGGGGTTTTTAGGGTTTGGGTCGAAATAATTTAGGGAGAGATATATCGGTAACGGGATCAACTATGAATATCGCTCTTACTCCATATAAGGAAATTGGTATCTATAGATATCTTGGATTATTCTTCAAAAAAAATTGGTATTACGTGTTTGCATCAATGTAACTCTAAGCTTTTTTTGTAACTAGTTGTCCCCCATTAGTCATTGGAATATGGATTCTTGCCTTTGGAGTTGCAGTAGGATTCCTTGTCTTTAGGTAAAGTTTGATCATCATATTCATAGATATTCAAATCTTGCAGTAAATACATGGTAATAGTTTACTTATAGTGAATGAACAGCTGGAAAGCAAAACTTACTCACTAAATCTGGGATATGATTTTAAAGGGCATGCCCAAACTGAGATGCTGATTACCAGCACTGGCTCAAGTCTAAAGAGACCAAAGTTTCATTTAAACAGGAAAAGGAGACCTGCATTTTATGTTACAAAAAAAACTTTTAAAACTTCAAAAAGTGTGCATGAATCTAATTCTTAGTTGTTACCTTAACAATAATTTTTTTTCTCTGTTAAGCTTCTAAGTTGGTATTTCTTAATGTTACTAACACTTGCATATCTTGACTTGTTTATATCCAGTTATTGTTCAGTTTTACCCTCTGTACTACTGCACTGGGGCCCTCGCAAAAAGGTACTTGACTGTATTACAATAAACTGTTTCTACTTTAGGATCCTAGTGGTATTGTACATCAGCCAACCAAAAGAATGTTAGCCATGTGTTAGTAGTTGAATTAAGAGTGGATATAAATAGTGATATACCTAATAGTATACAAATTTATTGATGGTTTGTGAAAATCTCTTTTTCTACAGTATTATGAAGAAGGTGAAAAGTTACAGGCATCCTCATCCAAGCAATGTACCATTTGTGGTAATAGAAAATGCCAACGTCACAGGTATATAACAACATCACAAATTCTTTGTTCTTTGCATGCCAATTATATTTGAAAATGGCAAAACATTTTATTGACTTACTTCAGGCACATTTACACTTTTCAATTTCAGATATAACTAAATCCTTTGACGTACATATATTGGGTGATAAAAAATTAATTTTTTTAAAATTATCTTATTATTTCCTTCTTAATGCACAAAGACCAGAGATTTCAAGAGCCAAGCTAAAGGTAAAAGTACCACAACTAATATTTCACTCTTTTTGCTCTGGTAATAATTAATAATAATGTTTAAGGTCAACACTATTCCCCTGAACTCTCGTGGTTAGAGACTAACATTGCTTCTGATATCGTGAAAAGAATTCCAAATGGCAAAAGTACACTTTTAGTTCTTGGGAATGGAATGCTGCAGCTTGGAATGCTTCTGTCACTTATGAGCCCTCAACTCCCAAGATCTGATTGTTGATTCTCCCCTCTGGCTGCCAAACATTTCCCTACAAATTAGTTACAAGAATTATGTGTTAAATTAAGGTAACACTTTCTATACCTGATAAGTTTGAGTTTTCTCATTACCTGTTTGCTGGATGGGGATACTATAGGGAGAATTTACAAGTGAATCATTTCTGGAAGTCAACTATTAAGGAATAACTAGTATATTATTCTAAACAAAAGTGATTGGTGTGACTTAGGGAAAATTTCATGACTTTGAAAAGTGGCTGTAAGATGTAAGGACCAAGGTGTTTGAATGCAGGTTTGTTATCACTTAAGTTAAGATGATCAGCAACTGAGGGAATTAACTTTAGGTGGATGAAATTATCTTCCAATGGTATTTCATATTAAATTTAGCAACAAAGTGATCAAAGTAAGCCATTTCCTAATCTTGCTTCTCTTTTATATGTAGCCATGGGAAGACCTTTTTATTCCAGAATCTGTAGATGCCGCATTACAAGAGGTTTGTCATAGAATGTGATTACTGACTTGTACTTATAGAAGTCACTCATCAGACATACTACATTTTGATAAGGTATATATTGTTTGCTGATTTTATTTAATATGTAATTGTATCCTTTTATTTTCAGTTTCTTGGTCTCTTACTTCAAAACTATGTGTACAGCTGGTACAGGTACATGAATAAATTGGCAAACTTCTTCTTATTTAATAATAGAAGAGAAAGATTAATGTAAAATGTAAATAATTTATATCATAGTTTACTTTAAAGTTACTCCAGGTGATATTTTACTGAGTTTCCTGTCCAATAATCACAGACATGTCATATGATTCAAATCCAACATATTTAGAGTTTATACCCAAATGTTTGGTTACATTCATATACAAGAAAGACTAAGGTAGCAATTAAATAAAAAATGAACAGTTTTCCTGTATTTCATTTCGAAATTCAATTTGTCACTAAGAGAGTTGGCTGCAAACTGGTATACCAGTTTTGAATCATGCATACATGTATTTAGATTACTTAAAATAAAACTGTTGTTAACAATAATTCTGCCCTAATTGTATCTCACTTCACGTCCTGTAGAGAGTTAAGCTGTAGTGAAATATGTGTGGATGAAATCCGTGCAAGCATTAGATACATGGCTGCAGTGTTGTTAAAGAGAATACAAAAGGTACATATCCTGTGTTACAAACTGTAAATGAATGTTTGAAATGTTAGAAAAGGCAAAAAAACAACTAGCATAGCCATATGACACCAGGTCTGGGAATTCAGCCTACAATGAGGCTAAGTAATGCTTCTTTGCCAGCCCAATACATGAACTACTATCAATATCTGTTCTCTCCTCAGGTTGATCTCCCAACTTTTGTTATTAACAATGTTGGCAAGGAAGGTTTGAAGCATTTAGAGATGTATCTGACAACAAAACAAAAAGGTATCACCCAGCAGTGCTCTTTATCTGTATAGAATAATAATGATAATGATAACATAGAGTTTATAATAGAAATAATTAATTCACAAGACTAAAAGTAACTGTTTGTTGTATTCATCCAGTCACAGCATCAGGCTCTGCAGCCAACATCCAGACAGCCATTTTAGATCGCTTTGGACCCAAGATGCATTGTGCACTGCAGAGTCGTCAAATGGAACTTCACTATCTGAGGAAACTGTCAGAGTCTATTATTCCTGTTATATTACCTCCAAATTCCTTGCAGTGTAGGTATGTTGTGGCCATAAAATTTCTTTTTTCACCAAACCACACAGAGTACACACTAGTAAGCAATCCATTGAATAGTTAATTTGTTTTTAAGATTTTCTGTATTGCTTTAACCAGATCTTATTAAATTTCAGGAGTCTTTTGTCCTTACTGCGAGAACTATTAGCCAGTGCAGTCTTTTTAACAGCAGTTGACAAACTATCAGATCCAGTAAGTTCACTGTTAAAAAGTTGACTGTAATTTATGGTCTGATTCATTTTAAATGCAATGCTATAATTTTAAAATACTACACTTTGTTATGATAACTTAATTTTTTTAAACTTTTCAGGATTTTGTGAATAACATGCTTCTTCTACTTCTGGACAAAGAACCTGTAGGTGTTTCTTTTCAACATGTCACATTATAGTTGTTGTTTATAAAGTATTAAAGTAATTGTTGTTGTTTAGTTTTAACTTTGCTTTCATGTTGGGTAATGCTGTAAGAAGGGTTATTCAATTAATTCTCATAATATTATTCAAACCAAAGTCATGTCCATGTCTCAGATGGTTGCCTCAGAAGAACCACCCTCTCCAAAAGTGCCATTACTTGCTAAGTTTGCCAAACCAAGGACTCCAGTTATGAACTCGGTAAGTTGTGAATCATGGACATGTCACACAGGGAGGAATTTGATTTGTGACAGAATTGATACAGATGTCACCTTTGGTAGAAAGGTTGTATAATAGCTGTATCCATTCCTTAATTTGGTACTGTTATGTTATGTTCTCTCAGGTGAAAGAGGAAGGTTCAAACTTCAAGAATATATGGAGACAGATATTTTAAAAGTTCAGATCCTGTCATTGAGGAAAAAAAAAAGCTCTTGAGTCCAAGCAATAAATTGTGCAAAAATTTAGCATGTGGAATATAACCGCTAATAGTTAAGTGCCTAGCACTGCAATATTTAGCTTTCTTTCTCTTAAAGGCAAAACATCTTTTCTGAGTAATGTGAGATAATTACATTTGCTAGTTTGTATGTTTGTTTATTTTCCAGGCTCTTCATCTTTCCATAGCAGATATACTTCATACCCAGTCCGCCCTGTTTCCTTTCATGCAGTTTATGAAAAGCGAAGGAGCGCTAAACATTCTCCAGTTCTGTCTTACTGTTGGTATGTTAATTTCATTTAACATTTAGATTTACCGACACTGTAATTTTTTTCTAGTAATACAACAATGTAGCATTAAAAATTGTCTATTGGAGGGTTTTTTCCAACAATTTTGCCTATGTTTTGTTCTACAAATGTTGCAGAGGATTTCAATAAAAGAATATTTGCTTCTGAAGAAACAGAAGAAGAGAAAG